ATTGGATATAACAATAGCAGCAACAGCAGCAACAGCAACAGCAACAACAACAAAAGCGACAGCAACAACAGCAGCAGCAACAACAACAAAAACCACAGCAACAACAACAACATTAGCCACAGAAGTAACAACCACAACAAAAATGACAGCAACAACAAGCCGTTTTTCCATACGACTGACGTCACATCATGCCTTGCACCAGTAAATGACGGCAGCCATGTTAGATGGCAGGAAAATACAATCGCTTTACATTAAAAAGAATTCCACTCCCAAGAGCAAAGGGATTCTATTGTTCTGCTGAAAGGTGATGGTGCAAAACGTCTATAGATGGGATTGATTCATTACCAGTAAGTTCATTATTATGATGCAGTTGATGACCAGAAAGCACACGTACAACGGCCAGGCAATTGGCGGGACTTCGTTTTCATTGTAAACTGTATCGTATTCGAATTCACCCAACATGCCCATTGTGGTCTTGAGCATGGAGCGACCTGGAGTCGCAAATGGAACCTGGAAATAAATGGAAAAGATAATAAAATGGTTTTGGTGACTTCAGCTAATTAAACACTAAATGAAAAGGAAAAAAGGTACGATATAGAAAGACTGGATAAACGAAAAGCTGACATACAAAAGATGGATGGATGGATGGATCAATGAAGGAATGGATGAGATGGATGAACGGATGGGTGAATGGATGAAATGGATGAACGGACGGACGGACGGATCGAAGGGTGAATGGATGGATGTACGGATTAATGGATGGTTGGAATGCCATACATGAATGAATGAAGTAATGCAATAGATGAAATGCAATATGGATGGAATGCAATAAATAAATGAAAGGATGGGTGGATGATGGACAAGTATTGAATGGAAGAAAGGACGGAACGAATGAAATAGATGAAACGATGAAGAACCTTTTTTTAAAAAGATAGAAAATTTTACGATAGAAAGTTTTCTCAAGCTTGCGTGCACATCCAATCTTGAAGGGCCACAAAAGTGAACAACGCAAATATAGTAAAATTGAGAAGCCAGTTTTATATCAAAAGAGGAGAATAATCGATTTAATGTAATCTTGTTCTGAAAAATCTTGAAGAAAAGTATGATAGTTCTCATTACAAAGCTCCTGTTCTGGTATCAGGCCCGTCAAGTTTCTTAAATTTGGATGCGCACGCAACCTTGAGAAAACGGTTTATTCTGCTTTYTTACAAACTGTTTTTATTGCTGTGCAGTGATCGAGGCAACCAACGCGACAGGGAAATCGGGCAATATACTTTAGTTAATCGAAAAAAACGAGTAGTTTCCCATATACCTTCTCAAGGTCCCCAAGTACTTTTGACTGGTTAGGTCGAAAGCCGAAGGAATTCATACCATTCTTACCCCTTACCTGTTCGTAGATAAGTATATGGAAAGCCAACCCAAAACCCACGATGAACAGAAAGAAGACCACGAAGAAGCGCGCAAAAGTTTTGAAGATATGCGTGAACATAACCACGTAGATTCCGAGCTTGGGAAACTTGCGCATGAAAAGAACGAGGTTGGTCCAGGACAAGTAGACTGCTGCTGCTCCTACACTATTATGCCAAACAAAACACCTGCAGAAAGAAAAAGGACAAATCAACTAACTGGTTGGATAACGATTCAGCTGCGGGTGGCGATGACGATATTGTCTGATTATGACGAAGGTGAATATGATGATGGTGATGATAATAGGGGTGATTATGATTTGGGTGATGATGGTGATGATGATTGAAGTAGTTATGGTGGTTATGGCTGATGAGGATTTTGGTGGTGGTGGTGGTGATAGTGATGATGAGTGATGATGTCGGTCGCGATAAGATGTTGTTGATGGCGAAASTGAAGATAATGATGATGATAATGATGGAGGTGGTGGTGTCGATGAAGGCGATTATGTCGACGATGATGATGATGCTGATGGTGATGATGACGACGATGAAAACACTATGATGGTCAGGTGATAATGCTGCTACTACGGAGACTAATCCGAGTCCGAACCATGCATTGACGACATAAATTGTGAACCGAATCAGTGCACACGAGTGCGATAGTTTCTGAAACATTACCTTGACCCGTTTGGTACATTAATAGTGGTTCCATCGACCGTAATCTCATCGATAACGTAAATCAAAGACACCACGTACGCCGAGACCTCAATCAGACGATGCCACTGAAGGTACAGCCGCCACACGTAGCAAAAATTTAGAAACTGGGGAAAAAACAAGCTCTATTTTAATTTGGGATAAATGATTGGTTATAAATTAATGGTTGCGGGGAAGGAAAAAGGGGGGGAGGAAATGAAAGAGAAAGATAGGGAAAGGGAAATAAAGAAAAAAGGAAAGGAAAAACAAAAGGAAAGAGAAAAGAAGGAACGAAGAAAAAATAGACTTACCTCTAATAGTAAGCTAATACATGCCGTTAATATGACAAGAGGCCTTCCAATCATCCTCCATACTACGTCACTTCCGGTTTTAATCTCACCAAAATTCACTTGACAAGCACAGAAAGTTGCATTTACGCATTTGAACGTAGGCATTGATTTAGTGGTGACCAAAGCATAGCCGGTTAAAAAGAAAAGAAAAATGCAATATAGAATAAGCTTGCTGTAGTAGACGTATCGACCAAATTTTTTCCACTTGTAGCGAAGAAGGTAAGTTACTAGTGGATGGCTAAGCAGCTTGACTCGTTCCTTGTTTACCTGTTCAGTGCCAATAAAGAAATATGACTTTTCTTATTACTGCAACCAACTAATTYAAGTTCCCATTGTTTTAGCCACAGGGAGCCCAATTTAGTTAAAACTAAAGGGTAAAAAAAGGGAGGGAAAAAATCGACTTTGCTATCATTATCGTTGAAGTGCGAACCGCGAAAATTGATGTTTCGCCGATAAGCATAAACTGAAATAAAAACAACAATATCTTGAGCAAGATTATAGACTGAATTAAAGATTTTAGTGCTCTAAAATGTCTTAGAGTAAACTACTTCCACGTTACGGCGGCTATCTTGCCAGGGGGGGGGGGGGGGCAAAACAAGACAAAGATGACGGAAAATATATAGAGTTTCCTTAAGTAATCAAAAAGACCAACGGTAAGAGCGCGCGCTCGTTGACGTCAGCTTATTAATCTATCCTTTTCTCGATGATGAAAATTAGTCAATCAGCGCGCGCGAAATTAACAATGTGTGGTGAATAGCCTATTGCCTATACGTATTAAAATTAATAGTATTTTCTTACCATAAGCATGAGAGGATGGTTGGCCTTCAACTGGGTCTGTTTGGTGGCATTCTCAGGCAGAGCTGATTTGATTTTCTCCATCACCGCGTCCAGTCCATGATCTTCATCTTGATCATCCTGTGACTCAGAGGAACCCGCTGCCCAATCGAGATTGACGTCATCGAGAAACTCGTAGTCAAGGGTGATAGCATATTTGGGGTTATCCACAGGGTGACCATTACTAGTAACACAACGATTGAATACGTAGCCTGCTACCTCTAGAAAAGGAATAAAACGAGGGAAAATGAGGCTAGTGATTGACGTCATGTGTCTTCTCAAGCGCAACCRTTAAACAAGTGATACTCAAGGGAATGAAACGTGGTCTGAATTGAGAAACCGTTACTCTCAAGATAACGAGGTCTATTCCCAAAGCCGTGGCCACCACTTGAGTGGACAGGGTTCCCGTCCAAGCTAAAAAGGTCTATTTTCCCGCCATTTTTTCGAGCATGCGCAGTTGGCCTACCAGGTAGCTTCTTGATCAGTTTTCTCATGGGAGATGTTACATTTTTGCCATCTTGATAACGATTTTTCATGGCTTTTTTCCAGTCGGCGTGATTAATAATTGTCTGAACAACTTCTCTGAAAGAGAAAAGCAGAAAATGTGAATTTAACTCCTTCTTAAACAAAGAAATAGAAACAATAGAAACAAAAGAATAGAAACAAAAGGGAAAAAAAAAGATTAAACGCCAAAAAAAAAAAAAAAAGAGCCAACGTTACTTACTTGTGGTTGTTTTCGATAGCTATGTCCAGACAATTCTTTCCCGCGCTGTCTTTCAGGTTGATCTTGGCCTTGTGTGACATTAACAGCTTGACCATCTCCACGTGACCTTCTCGTGACGCAAGATGAAGTGGTGTAGTCTGATTGGCAAAAGAAAACAATGACAATGAAGTTGTTAGTGGTTATGGTGATATTGTGTGACATTAACAGCTTGACCATCTCCACGTGACCTTCACGTGACGCAAGAGGAAGTGGTGTAGTCTGATTGGCAGAAAATAATGACAATGATATTGTTAGTGGTTATGGTGATATTGTGTGACATTAACGGCGTGACCATCTCCACGTGACCTTCACGTGACGCAAAAGGAAGTGAGGTTTTGGAAGTAGCGCTAGATAAATAAATAATATATATTATCATTATTATTATATTATGTAGTCAATGTAGCCTGATTGGCAAATAGAAATAATGGCAATGATGTTGTTAAAGAGATGTTGTGTGACATGAGAGTTTCACTATCATCGGGAACACGGAGGAAAACTCTCGAAGCCCCAGYAAAAACCCTGACCCTTTTACGTTAAGCGTTAAGTTTTTCCATTAAGCCTACGTGTCATTCTCTTGGGGAAAAGTTCCTTGTTTGAGTTGTATCCATATTCATGTGTCTTCTCATGCGCAACCGTTAAACAAAGAAATGATACTCTAGGGAATGACACGTGTCTGTAATGGGAAAATATTACACCCAAGGTAAAGAGGTGTATTGTACCAAGACGTATCCCATGTTTCCAACAAGATGATGATGCAACTGTTAATAGATGTAATGACAACAAGGTCTCAAATATAAAGATATGTTTTAACTTTTTCCTACCTTGGATTTATCGGTAGGATCTACTGGACAATCGTGCTGTAATAGTACTGTTGCTACTTCTACACACCCACGAGCTGCTGCACAGTCTAGGGGGGTCCACAGGGTAGCATTTCTGGAAATTAATAAAGGTATGTGTTATTCCTGGGGCTTTAAATATCGTCAGCTCTCGAATCTTCTTACTTCGTTTCTTCCTCCATTATTTCCATTCCAAGCTTTCTTCTTTTTTTTTCCCCCCTAACTTTCTTCATTTTGTCCCTCCCTCCCTCCCTCCCTCCTTCCTTCCTTCCTTCCTTCCTTTCTTCCTTCCTTCCTTCTTTTTTCTTTTTTTCTTTCATTTATTTCCCTTTCCTTTCACCTTCTTTTTAACCTTTCCCTCATACCTAGCATCAACAGCAGCACCCCGGTCCAACAGCTCCTTAACAACTGTAGAATGTCCATATAGAGCAGCCAGATGAAGCGGTGTATTGGAACCATCATCTTCGTCATTGATGATAGAGGGATCTCGATTTAATAACGCACAAACCGACCTATACAATACAAAGAAAGACATGATCTTCAATCTAACAATATTAAACAAATATTGGTAAGTCGTGCCAAATCTGCTTTACATATACACCGAGCTCTTCCGTGCAAAGGAGTGGAAAAAAGGAGACACTGGAAATCCTTTATGATGAATCCTCTACAGGCATCTCTATAGAGGTTTTGCACCACCACGTGACGGCAGCCAAGTTAGATGGAAGGAACAATACAATCGTTTTACATGAGAAAGAATTAAATTCAAGAGCAAAGGAATTTTATTGTTCTGCCATCTAAACAAAGGAAGCCCAAGCAGTATTATGGAATGGGCACGTGATGTTGCAAAACCTCTATTTACTTTGGGGATTCTAGTTTGTTTCTTTGAAGGGTTACCTGTGGTGTGTAGATCAATGTGATCCCCCCTTTATCACACAGGAATGCCAAGTGCCAAAGTTTGATCTTACCTGATCTTGCCATATTTTGCAGCCAAGTGTAACGGTGTGGCACCTTCATCGTTCTTGCTATCAATACAAGCTTCATATTTGAACAACAGCTGATGAAAAAGACGTATTTTAAGATCAAGCAATAATTGCGTAGCAAAATATTTGTGTTAGCAAAAAACATTTGCCATTGACTCCACCACCATGGCCACCATGACTTTCTTAATTGACTTTCTTGGGAACGTTTGCAAACCATTAACAAACAGCTGAATCTGAACAAACAGCTGTCTGAATCCGTATGCAAATTAGTCAAAACCTAAGTAAATTTGACTTTCAAACAATGCCTTATAAATTGGACTTCACAAAATGCCAAAACGTAGTGTCCATGCTTGAAACTTAAGACTAATTCTTTCATATTGCGTTTAATACAGTATCTTGGTCTGACAAAAGTATACTCCCGAACATTTATTTTCTCACTCAAACTCTTCAAAATTCTTAGAAAACGTGCTGAAGTGCACGCATGCGCAAACGTTTTTCCCTGGTGTCAATGCGAACCGGGTTCGAGTCCCGCAGGTCTCGGTGTCGTATGTGAGTAGAGTTGTTTGTTGGTTCTCTCCTGTGCTTCGAGGGTTTTTCTCCGGGTTCTCGGGTTTTCCTCCTCCGCAAAAAATCAACTTCTAAATTCCAATCCGATCTATCGGCTGCCTTATCAACTCGGCTACAAAACCTGTTAGGCATATTACGCCGTCCACCCAGGAGTAGTAAGCGCATTAGATCAYGGTTCAACATCCATGGGAAGTTCACTGGATGACTTACGGCAATAATGCGAACGTATCCTTTGCGAGCCGCAATGTGTAGTGGAGTATTCTCGTACTTGTCACATTCTTCAACCAAGGATTTTCCTTTCGGTTCCTTCAACAGCAGCTGAAATAATAAGATTGGTTCAAGAAAATATTTGTAAAAAATCATTGTTTTAAACTGTTTTGAATTTCATGTGCTATCAACCATGGGGTATTCTATTGCTTGGTATCAATCAGCTGAATGAATCTCATGGATCTCATTACCAGCCTACRATGACAGGCAAACACTGCCCATCATGTGCTATCAACCATGGGGTATTCTATTGCTTGGTATCAATCAGCTGAATGAATCTCATGAATCTCATTACCAGCCTACAATGACAGGCAAA